AATGCTGCATTATTTGCATAATGTTAGTGCGAATTAGTCTTCTAAATATGTTATGTGCCCTATTAATTTGTCAAGGCCCATGTTAAGTCATCTTTCATAAAATAAAACCCCACATCACATGAGCAGTGTAATTTTGTTTTTTTATTTTTTAAGAAAACACAGAATGCATTATTTTGAAATGTCTGGAACGGCTTTTTACTTAAAACTGTATCGACTTGGATATGTTTTTAAAAAGCTATCTTGTTAGATATTTTTCACAAATGACATAAAACATAGACTGATGTGTTAGGTAAGGAATAGATAGTCCTCATCATCTTCTTCTGATTCATTGAAAGACATGCCAACTCCTGCAAGATATGAATCCATTTCAGTCGCCTCCCATTCAAAGTCATCTTCCCATGGACGTGATTCTGGAAATATAGGTCAGTTTTAAATAATGTTAAATACAGCTATATGCTTTAAATAAGCTCAAGTTTTCATAATATCAGGATCATAAAGAATCTTGTATATTACACTATTTATAGTCTGTAAAGTAACAAACCTACCCCGTGAAGAAGCGTGTTTTGCAGTGTTCGTCCTTCTCTTTCTTGAGAAGGACTTTGCAAATCCAGAAGACACTCTGTAGTAGTTAAATATTAGGATCACAGTTATTTCTTTCAACAGTGTTTCAACATTTTTGCAGGTGGCAACATTTTCTTACCTTTGATGATTGACAATTTTAGGTAAAGTTGTTTTCTTGACTTTCTCTGAGGTCGAAGATCTCTTTCCACTTTCTTTTGTCTTGCTCGTAGATGTACTTTGAGAGTTTGAAATGTGCTCCACTTGTGGGGTGTATGTTGACATCTGCAGCTTCACGTTTAGATTCACATTTGCATCTGGCACTAAATATGAAGTACAATAAATTATATATTTCTTTGTAATAAAAGGTCTTGCTAATACAGGCAAAATAAGTTCCATGCGCATAAGAGGCGATGGTTCACCTGTCCTGATACAGCGGTGTAATACATTCATATAGTGTTGACATATTAACTGCCCCATGTGCTCTTTACTGTAGGCCTCTGCAATATTATACAGAAAACGCTTCTGTCCGGGTGTCAGGCCTGGGTTCTGAAAACAAAGTGAATGTGAATTTTCAGATACTTGACATAAGTTTTTTAATGGCTGCTGAACCAGTCCTAAAATTGTAATTTGATTAGATTTATCAATTCATTGCAAAACATTTTTTTAAATAATTAAGATATTTTTTATGTTGTTGTACTAAGCTTCTTATGCTCACCAAGGCTGAATTTATTTGATTAAAAATACAGTAACAGCAGCAATATAATGAAATATTATTACAATTTTACATAACTGTTTTCTATTTGAATATATTTTAAAAATGTAATATTTTCCAGTGAGGGCAAAGCTAAATTTTCAGCAGCCAAAAATTCAGCTTTGCCGTCACAGCAATAAATGACATTTTAAAATATATTCAAATAAAAAACTTTGTCAATTCATTCATTTTAGTCAAATAAATGCATAGGCATAGACTTCTTTTTCAAAAACATAAAAAAATTATAAAATAACAATTGGTAGTGTATATTTCCATGAAATACCTGTAAAAATGGAGCAGCAGCCATGGTCTTAGGGATATGAATAGTTTTAGTGCCCCGATCTTGTTCTGGCACTTGTATGGTAGCATGTCTTTGTATTTTATGTCCAAATACTGAGTTTGTTTTGCCTGGATAAAGGGAAAAATTAAGTCCTTTCATTGAATATTTAGTTACAGTTTACATGACAGATATTAATAAAGTAATAGTTCCAAAATAATAGTTAGCTACACATATGACAGCCGTTTGTCTTAAGAGGATTTTTAGAATGCCAGTTGGGTCCCACTCAACTGGGTCAGAGACTCTGGTTACTCTGTCCAAATTATACAGGTGTAA